CCTGCCCTCCCGGGAGGCGGTGACTACCTGTCCAGGGCCAACCCTGTGGCCGGGACATGCACGTTTCAGCTGGTGCTCTCCCGGCACTCAGGGGGGTCTGCCCTCTGCACCCCGCTCCTTCCCACCTCTCCTGCCCCACTCCCTCCGCAATGCCTCAGCGCACACAAGCCCGCCTCTGCCTCAGGCCTCCTGCCTCAACAGCACCCCTCCCTGGTTCCTGACCCCCACCTCCTTCCCTTCCCACCAGCCTATTTTTACCCCGGCTTGTTTCCACCACACAGGAGCCGCTCCTCAGGACGGCCCGTTTGGCTCTCTGTACGGCTCTTCCGCGGTTGGGCTCGCGGTGGCCCCCGGGACTCGGCGGCCTGTCCCAGTTCCACATCCCACCTGCCCTGGGGGTGCGACCGAGGTAGACCTCTGCTCCCCTCCCTCGGCCGCCGCCCTCTCCCTCCCAGGCCTTCCCGGTGAACCTCAGACCCCAAGTTGACTCCCTGTGCCTTAAACAGAACAGGCCCAACACCGAACTGCCTTCCGCGTCCTCCCAACGGGATGTGCAACCTGTGCCTCTTGCACAGTCAGCACTCACTGAGCCAGAAACCCGTCACCCACCCTGGTCCCCCCACTGGTCACCGTGCCCCGCCGACAGGGCCCTGCAGCTCCTGGGGCGCCTTCCTAAGGGCCCTGCCCTGCGTGAGCTCCTCACTGGCTCCGCAACCTGGGCTCGCCCCCACCCATCTGTGACTTCTCAGGAGAGCAACGTCTCTGAGCCCCACCCCAGTCCCACCACTCATCTGCCTACAGTAGTGTGTGTCACGGAAAGCCGCCCTGGTCACTGTGCTCACGCCTCTGCTCCCTCTGAGGCCCATTTCAGGGCGCCTAGGGATTCGTGGCGCCCTTGTGGCACTCAAGCTGGTTGGTCCTTTACACAGGAACTTCCCTTCCAGTCCAACCTCGCCTCCCACATGCCCCACTCCACAGCCCCTGGTCACGGTGCGCCACCCCCTGCCCGGAATCCAGGGCCTGTCCTGCCCCAGGGTGTTCCCCTCGACCACCAGTGAACTGTCCTGCAAGACCCAGGCCCAACGGTCCCTCTCTGAAGTCCTCCTTCTCCTTCCAGAATGAACTGCTGTCTGCCTTGGTCGCAGAATGACCTTTCCAGAGCAGTTAGCACACTGCCTTCCTCCGATGCTTCACCTGCTAGTCGGTACACAGGGGACCACATGTAGCTTCGATTCTCCTCTGCCTGCACCTACCAACAACACAGGGCCTCCCGCACACGCAGCCCCCCGATTGCCAGCCGCAGGTTCACTCTAATGCCCCTGCCTCCCTTCCACAACAAATCTAAGTGTGCTGGTCTGTTACCTTGAGCATATTTCAGCTTTTTTGAGGTTTATTTGCTTATCTTTGTGCTCTCTGCTGATCTTCATTTGAATGATTTAAACTCATCTCAGAAAGCCCTGTGGCTCTTGTTCTGTTCCTAAGGCTAGCCACCATAGAATGCCAGGTTGAACCATGAAGGGAACTATGCCACAAACAGTGAGGAGAAAATGCATACACTCACTGCAAGTGTGTTCTATTTGACCAAGAATTTAAAGGTGGATGAGCCATAGGCAAATCCATCTTCATTTTAATGTGAAGTGAACAACTGACATCTCCCATTCCTACCTCACCTGGAAAAATCAAAACATCCATGCAAAGCACTCACGGCTTTTCAGCTATGGATAAAGAGAAAGTTCTGCTACTCTGTTAGCATGGAGAGTCTCACATAAACTTGATAAAGCTGAGAGTGGATTTGCCCTCTAGGGAATCTATAAATACTACTAATAACAAAGAGGTATCCACTCATATTGTATAAATAACACACATTAAAATAGATGTTATACTGTAATTGATTGGATGTAAAATATTGCTGAAATCCATAAAATCAATTTAATCTGAATCCCAATTGGAAAAGTTCAAACATCGTTTGAACTCTATGATAATCTAGTGTCAGCAGTACCACTGCTACACTAGACGAAAATCGAAAAGAACCTAGAGCTAGATAATCCAACACAAGTTTTAAGCCTCAGCATCACTTTTGGTGATTATAGGAAAATTAAATACTGACATCCTTGACAGGTTTCACTTAAGAAGATCTTCTTACACAGACCTCCCTTAACTATTATTGGAGGAAGTGTCATATTCAATTGTTTTGTGTGATGTTATAATGAGATTTTACACTTGGGATTTTATTATGCTGTTCTCTATTACGAGCGGGAAATATTCCTGTTAATTAAAAAAAATTAAGGATGTATAGCTAAGTATAGAACTCCTTAACACCACACATTTCCCCTAGGTCTCTCACTCCTTGACCATTGTAAAGTCTGGCTCCATCAGTCGAAGTGAGGCCAAGGAACAGGAATATCAAATTAACGTCTATCAAGCCTCAAGCACTGTGCTTCTCTTCATCCTCACAACACGGTGGAGTTGATATTATAAACCCAAATTTTACAGATAGGTAAACAGAGGTCCTACTTTGCAGGGGCCACATACTCAGTGAAGAGGTAGGGCCTCTGGGAAGGAGCCTCATTATGTTGGCAATACCCGGAGCCCCTTTCTACGGACTTGTCTGTATGTGGCCGTGTTTTCTACTAAGTAACCCCCATCACACTGGCCACAGCTAACTGGACAACGGATTGAGGCTGACCCAAAGCGAGCAACCCGAGAAGAGGCCCTCTGTGCAAACATGACTGTCCAAACCTATCTGATCCTCTCTTGTAGGAGAATGCAACTCTGAGGGAAGCAGAGAGAAGGAGCGCCCCACGAAGACATGCAGTAAAAACGCAGCGAGTGCCAACCCTGGGACGGGGCTGCAGGAGAGGAAGGGCTGGCAGGCAGATGCTTTTAAACAGGGTTTAATTAGTGCCCATAAAGCTCTAATTAAGAAAATGACAATGAAAACAAGAACAGAAAGATTTCCTAAAACCATAAACCACTGAATATGCAATTTATGAAAATGAAATTATTGTAATCAATATTTCAGCAGAACATTACTCAGTTGTTTCAGCACTGCACAAAAACACTCATTTTTAGAAAACCAACACAGCAAACACAAAGTGATGACAAGTATGTAGCCCCCAAACCCCATCACCATTTTCTGTCTGTGGCAGCAAGGAGCAGGCAAGATCACAATCAACTGAGATTTTTTTTTTAAATATCCAATACCCAGGCCCCCTGTCAGATTGATGAAATCAGATACCCAAGAACTGTACGAGTTCCCCAGGCCACGGTGCAGCCGGATCCACTCTCGGTCAGTGGGTCCAGGACCACCAGCTTTAGCCTTACATGGGGACTTGCTTGAAAGGCACGTTCCCACTGTTCTGAACCTGAAATTCCATGTTACACGACCACCTACGTGATCCCGATGGACCCCAAAGTTTGCGCCATGGCCTCGCGACCTATCACCATATCGGAAGGTGCATCTTCCTTTTTAATTATGGATTATATAACACCAATCGACGGTAAACTGGAAAAAAGTCCGACAAACAGGACAAGCAAATGCTAATTTCCTCTGGAAACTCATGTAAACCAGCAAAAAACAAGTGTAGATACTGAGGACCTCAGAACACAAGGATACACGAGCAATTCCAAAACAATATTTATTTACATTTTTAATTATGTAAGATTTAACATACAAGCTTACATGCACAAAGTAATGCTTAAAACTGAGGGGAAGGAGAACAAAGAAAAAAATGCCAAAATGATGAACATGTGGCTTCTGAGTGGTTGTAGTGGGTTTTTTAACGATAATATATTATCTTTATAATTTTGAAAAAGCATATGTTTAAAATACAGTATATTGATCCCTACCTCATATTACACACACAAGTTAAAAAGAAAATTGTAAAATTATTAGAAAAAGAAAGAGTGTTTGTATGGTCTTGGGATAATAAGAAAAGCTTTCTTAATATAAAAAAAGCAAAATCTTAAATAATATGATTGGTGCCCTTGAACACATCATAATTTTAAACTTCTGTAAAACAAAAGCCTCCACAGACAAATGAAAAGAATTCAGGAACTGTGACAAGACGTCATGACACATATGGCAGAGAGCAGCTAACCACAGGAACATACACAGAAAACCCCCACTGACCAATACAAAACCTACTAACCAACGAGAAAAACAAGATGATGACGTGCACCACGAGGCCAGTCGCAGGCAAGAGAGCCTGGCGCTGCGCCCAGAGGCGCGGAAAGTGGCTCTGGCCAGCGCGATGAGGAGTGAGACCTGAAACAACCTGGGAGACCATTTTTATGTCTATCAGATTGGCAAAAGTGTAACAGGCTGTCAATACCCCGGGCACATCAGGCTTCGCTGCTGGGGATACAAACTGCCTGGGGGCACAGCCGAGCTCCCCACCCAACAACACTGCTCCCAGAGAGGAGCCTTCACGCACATTCACGGCCGGAAACCTGGGCCACGCAGCTCCTGAGAGCTCTGCTCTGTGTCGGCAAAAAGGGGGGCGACCTGAATCTCCACAGCAGGCAAAAAGGTAAATGAGATGTGGCCCATTTGTCCAAAGAGGTACTATAGGTGCAACAGTGAGGGGAAATAAATAGATCTGTATGTATCAACACGAGTAGTTTCCAAAGAGTTTTTAAGATGGCAGGTTACAGAATGAAATGCAATTTTAAGACCATTTACGTATATTCTTCAATATATATAAAACATTATATATAATTTCCTAGCTAATAGCCAGCTATATAAAAAATAATTTAAAAATAAACTGTAAGAATACACATTAAACTCACAATGGATGTTACTTCTAAGTTGGGAATAAGCTTTTTCTTCAGTTTTTCAACCCCCTGCCCCCAGTCCAAAAAAGGTTTGCAAAAAAAGGAGTCAAATAACATGAACATTAGCACCCACAGTAATGATCTGAGCAGGTGTGCTCGAATCCTATGATTTTTATTACTTTATTACAATGCAAACAGTTGAGTCAATATTAGATGACACTTACGCATGTAAGGCAGCTTTTCTGGGCAGGGGAGGTATGGTGAATATGTGAAGTTTTCCGGAAGATAGGTTGTTGTTTGAATAAGATAATCACTTGAATTATTGCCTTCAGGATAATCTTGGAGAGAGAGAAAAAAGTTACAACCAAGAAATTGCCTTTCTGTTTCACTCCTTGTATAAAACGTCATTATGGTTCTGAGAAGACCTATAATATGCAAGCAACAGTTGTTAAAAGCAATGATTATGAAGATGAAGAGAAAAGCGAAAAGCAAATGCAGCTGACGTGGCTACTCTCCTACCCAACCCTTCAACGCTGCAAGGATGGCCCTCAGCAGGATTTCCCAAGGGGGCTACAGGATAAGCCCAAAGCAGCCTGGCCTGGTCACCCATGCTTATGTAGCAGGCCTGTTTGCGAGGTGTTAGCACACCTGCTCCCAGCCTCCCACCTCTGAGCCGGAGGCAAAGAGAGTGTGGAAGTATGCCAGGGACTGCTCCCTGCTATCCGACCGCCTAGGGCACTGGGGGTGACCACAGCCCCCACCAGCAGAGGGTGAGATGTGTTCTCACCACCTAACACTTAAGAGCTGAGATATACCTACTCAACTTTTGAAAATCATCCCATTTGAAATCCTCAGTCATTCCCATCCCAGAGGCTGCAGCCCCTGGGGAGCCCTGGAGCTATCCTTCCATTAGACACGGTCTCCTGATGCACTGAGTCACACAACACCAGGGCACTGGCGTGGAGACCCAGGGTCACGCTGAGTGCGGATCCTCACTCCAGCACACCCTAGCTTGGAGGCACTCCGCAAGGCCACGTAGTTTCCCATCTGTGCCAACGACATGTTTCAATTAGACAAATGTACAAAGTGCTTAGAACAATGCCTGACCCACATCCATACTCAGTAACTGCAGCTGTGAGTGGCTGGTTTCGAGATGAGAACCTGACCCAACAACCTGGGACAGTCAGAGCCTTAGGAATTCTGAACTTGGAGACAAAGAGATCATGTTTCAGTCCTTTCTGGAACAAAGTTCTCAGATGCAAGTCTGGGAACCACAACCTGCCAGTTTCCTGCCCTACAAGAGGAAGCTGGTCTCCTGAGAATGAGACCAACATGCCGTGAGTAAGAGATAGAGATGGAAACAGCTGATTAAACTACATCCGTCTCCTGGTTCAAAGCCATGTACCTGCAGAAAGAAGCCATAGCAGATGCTTTAGGAAAAGGGGAAGGTAATTCCAAATCTTCAGTAATCTGCTCTGATGACAGAGATTCCTGTATGAACTGGCCTGCATGGAAAGAGGGACAAGAACTGGCACAGGGTTGAGAGAGACGAACCTGTCTACCAGTGACCAGCAAGTGACAGGCTGGAAGTCTGAGTCATACACCTTAGTGAGCTGCAAAAGCTAAGCCTTCTTCTCACTATGGAAAAATGGCAGAAACCTGGAAACTGAGTATCAGGTATATGAGGCAAGTCAGAGAAAACTAAACACCTGCATGTACCCCTTTTTCCTGGCAGATATTCGTTCACCAAAACAGAGTTGCTGGGGCTATCACTGGGGAGCGAGGCTGGCACTTTGGAGCAGGCACCCCTTGGCAGGCCTCCTGCTGGAAGGGGCCCTGGGTGCTGCCCACACAGATGCATAGGGATCCAGCCGGTACCAAGGGAGAGAGAACAGGAGAAGTCCAGTTGCCAAGGACTGCATGGAAATCCTAGCTGTGAATTCAGCAGGGCATCAGTATGGCTTTAAGGTAACTGTACTGCCAGAAGATGCCAACGTGGTAAACAGGGACTAATGAGGGTACTCCAGCTAAGGCCCATTCCAGCAGGAAGTGGGAAGGCCCCTGAGAACCCTGCCCAGGGCCTGTCTACAGAGGGTCCTCTCTCCAGGGGAGCCCTGACGTCCTTGGTAAGGAAGGAGGCGGACTCTGGGGTAACTGTATGCCCAGGGACAGACTACCTCCATAGAAACCCCTTAGGAGCTAATTCTCTGTATGTTCCCCACAAATATCTGCAAAATTTGAAGATACTAAACATAAAGTAAGTGCAAGGAAGTGCAATAAGGTTCGCATTCTTTCCTTAAGATGTTTTTTTAAAAATGTATCTAGATATATATCAAATGTTTAAGTAATATTCAAAAATATGTTTCTCCTTTTCTGGGGACCCTACCTAGCTAAGAATCTTCTATACACTGCACACCTGTAGGAGCTGAAAAGAGGTCAGGTTGTGCCCAGGAGTCCACTGCCTTTGCACTCCAAGAACTCACAAACCCTACAGCAGGTGACACGCCAGTGCAGTCCGCCAGTGATTTCTTAGTGTCATGCAGCTAACTTTAAATAAGAGTATTTTCTTACTCTGCATGAGTTATTAATCCTTGTCATTAACACTCAGGCCCCATCCCTTAGCTACGACTGGATAAATCCACAACCTGTTCACAGAAATGTGAAGCGCTCTAGACATTTCTGCAGAAGAAACTGTTAAGAGCAGCTCTCCCTGGGGAGTCTGGGGTGACAGGAGGACTGACATGTTGTTCCACTGGCTGTTTCAGGGCTACAGTGACTGAATCTTTGGAGAAAGAATCCATGTTATCACTTTCATTAGTTTCTAAAAAACCAAATTAAGAAAAAAACCCTTAAAGACATGCAGTATCAGTACATTCACTTCCTTTAAGTACAAGTTTTGACACTAAACATGCTATTCTTGACCACATCATTTTTAATGGTCATAAGGATCTCAGCTCGTTGCCAGACTTAATCTCCGCACTCCTTGGGTACTGTATCCAGGGGCATTTACGTCATCCCAATATATTGTGTATAGTAAGTCTATCCTCCCTCTGCCACTAGTCAGACTGCCTCTTCTATGAAATCAAATTGCATCTGATTTCTAGTATCTAATAAAGTATCTAAAACATAAAAACTACAGTGCATGAACACTTTACAACTGATAATATAGCCAACAATAACTGAAGCTTTTGGAGGCCATACTGTAATAAACCCACAAAATCATTATTCCACCCAGTATGACCACTGCTTTCAAACTTGGAAGCCATGTTCCCAGGTTGTGCACAACAACATGCGTTTGAGACTTGCCCACCACAATGGCTGGAAAACACGGACACCGTTTCATGCGAATGGATGAAAACACTATGAGGTCTGGGCCCCCTGCCTTCGCCTCTTTCCACAGCCACCCCCAAAGGGAAGCTCAGGATGAAAAGTGCTGGACAGGTCCCTCCTCCATTGGCCCCATCACTCAGGGGAAAGGATAAGAGGACCAAGCAGTCTTTCCAGGGATTCGTTTTTCTCCCCACAGCAGCTTAAAATAGGCAATAGAAACTCAAAGAGAGCTCTGGCCTGTTTACCACAACCTGTCGCATGAGTCTAGCAGCGTCTGAGGAGTGCAGACCGCATGCCCACCACATAGGAAGTATGCTGGGCTGTTTGCAACAGACTGACGGTTCTAACATTGCATGACCCTTACTATCTGCCCAGTAACTACTCACTGAATATATCTTGTTTTCTTAATTTGACTGATGCCAGCCAAAAGGGTGACTTCTTTATAAAAATACTACATATAGTGTCTATACACACTTGATGCTTCAAAAAGTTGGGTACAGGATTAAAATTCCTTTTTGAAACCAAATGTACTTGGAAATACCACAACGTATTTGCCATTAAGTATTAAATTTTAAATGAGCCAGTACATGTTAACTAAGGCTCTCCTAGAATTCAATCAGCTCTTTGTATACTTATTGGCCATTATCTCCTTTCTGGAAGACTGTATCTATATAAGTCTGTGCAGAAATAAACAACTGCACTATAACTATTTATGTTTCTATCTCTCCCAGAAGCCTGGAGATCCTCATATAAAGGGAGGACATTTTTATTAACATTATGTTTCTAATATCTAAATAAGTATACTATGTTAATCGCTCAATATAAATGAACATGCCAGAGCCTCATGGTCACCTGCTCAAACCCACTGTCCCTCTCTCCTCAGGTAACAGAACCCTGATTTCCCTCGGGGTGCGAGCATGCCGGCTCAAAAATGGTGAGGTCCCAGTGCCCTTACGACAAAGTTCTGGCCCGTGAGATGTAAGCAGAAATACCCTGTGGGACTGCTGGGAAGGCTCCTTAAAAAGAGTGCTCTGTTCCTCTTCCTGGCCTCCTTCTTACTGGCCCAAATACAAGCAGGAAGACAGGTGCCCCAGCAGCCGGATTAGGCTGTGAAGCTGTGTGACAGAGCGTGAGATGGAAAGCGTGTGAACTTTCTCCACAGCAGCCACAGAGTCCACGTGCAGGCTTCTCACGGCGACACAAAGCCTCAGGGGTCAAACCACTGTGGTCAGGCCTTCAACAGCCAAACCGGCTGCTGAGACAATGACTGGCTGTCTCCTGAGAACAGTTCTTCCACCCTGAAAAGTCTCCAAAGGTCCCCACAGTAAATGTGTTCTGACCGGAGCCTCGGCCAACAGGTCTCTCGTGGAGGCACGAGGGGTGGGGAGAAGAGGGCGCCCTCTCTTTTTTTCTTTTTCTCAGATGAAGGGTGCTGGGGGGATAGCTATGCTTTGGCCGAGTAATCAGTTCTCCTAGTCCAGCTCAAAAGTCACACATGTAACTTTTTCCTACTCCAGGAAAAGAACGAATTTGCTCAAATTTTCAGCGCTCACTCACACAGATATACCCAAAGGTGCCCATCATGTCTGTTCAGCTGGGTGAACTTTTAATACTCTCACAGTGAACTTATTCAGCGTTCCAAAAAAGTTTTTAAAATGTTTAAACTTCTCTTAAAATTGGCCTATTACTCAGAAGACCAATTAAGGCAGACTTTTATTGTACTATTAAAATAACAACTACAATGAGAGTCTGAAAGAAATGCTTTGAAAGTTAAAAGGAAGGAAACCATTACATGGCATCATGAAACAAATTAGGCAAATGACTAGAATGGATTTTACAGAAGCACATGTGAGATTAAGAATCAATGTGAGACAGTCTTGAATTTTTAGAAGGGTCTAAAACTTCACCTGCCTTAAAATGTTTTAAGAAAGAACATTTATGGTTAGGAAGAGAAGGAGGTCCTGCCAGTAGAGGGTGTGTGTGTGCGCGTGTAGTTTACAGCTGCCCAGTGGAGAGCTGTTGACACAAACTGAATCTTTAATGTTAACTGTTTAAAATGAGAGTACAGAGGATGACAATCAGCCACTGACCCCTTTCAAGTGACACCTGATGAAGCTTCAGGCACCAGTGCAAACTCTCCCCCACAACAGTCAAATCCATTCATATCAATTCTACCTTCATTAAATCTCTCATCTGGCCTTTTACTTAGGCTTTAACCTCATGTGATGGAAATTCTATTTCCAGATAATTTAAAGACAAGAGCAGCTACTGATTTCCAAGTTTACATAATCTCTCCTTTAGCCTTCCAAAAAGGTCATAAAATTGTTAAGAATTCTCTATCATTAAAGCAGTAGTTTCTCAACAGAGTTGGACAAACATTTTAGGAATTAGAATGGGCATAAAGGAAAATGCCAGAAAGGCTAATCTGGAGAAGTTATTCTTTTTGTGGTTAATTTATCTTCAATACAGTAGGTGAATTTAAAAAGTAAAAGCTGCTTTTCATATTTTGTTGCATTTATATCTGCAATTAACTTAAGTATCCTTGTACAAAACCCCCATCCCCTTGCTGGCTATGCCTTTATGCCTCCTAAAATACATGCCCACCTCGGCTCACACAGGCACTGTGAGAGACACCTTCATCCGTAACAGGCCTTGGGAGCGAAGCCAGAGCTGGACGCCTCAGTTTGCAGCTGGGCCTGAGGGTCTCTGGTCTGCACAGGTGAAGGCGGAAGCTGAGCAAGACCAAGGAGGAAGCGACCTTACCTGTACCGTTGGTGGTAGCGTTTTTATTTGTGTACAGCCTGATCATCTGCCCTATTGTTTTCACATTTTCTTTCAACATCATTCCTCGAGCTTGTACCATGAAGAGATATGTGTTGGCTATAAAAGAAAAAAGAGGGCATGTTGTTATTCAATAAGCGGCTTGCATATTTAATAAAATAATATTCAGAACTGGGAAACTGCCCAATAAACCCAAATTGACCCAATTAGCAGAAACATAAAGTGACTATTTCCCATTATCAAACAATGACAAACTGCTTTTTTAAAACAATAAAAATGAAAAAGTTAAAATAGTAAAATCCATCAAATAGGAGACTTAAGGAACAAACTGAAATATCATAATGAATTCTCTTATTCATAAATGATTTTCTACCATATGATATACTTAGAAATTTCAAAAGGCATTACAGATATTCAACCATATAGTTATAAAACTCATTTTCTCTAATTCTGTACTAATCCTGCACACCCCAGCCCCATAAACACCAGGACCCCTTATCCAGTCCTAACCATAACCATACCAAAACCACAACCGTACCCTGACGCACATACTATCAAGCACAGATGTGGACCTTGCGAGCTCTCAGTGTGTCTGGAGGGACACAGGGAGCATGATGACCTTGAATCGATACTTACATAGGTAATTTATCTCTAAGAGTTAATCACTGAACTTTTACATTCCCTTTCAGTCACAAACCTACCCATCGGGACTGTGAGAGCAGGGACAGTGAGAGCAGGTGAAATCAAAATCAATGTGCGTTTCCAAGTTGGCCACTTTAATTTTTATAGTAAAGCACTTCAAAAGCAGGCCCCTCACTTCTTCCTCTGGGAGGAACTGTGAAACTGGCAAAGCTCACACAGTCCCCTGCTCCGTGAGGGCCCAGGCCTCCCCAGAGGCACAGAGCAATCAGAAGACCCCTTCTTTCTTTCTCGGTCCTGATCCGACCAGCACGTGCCAAGCTCGGACAGCTGGCCGGGTCTCAGCGTCCTCAGCTAAAATGGGCAGTATTGCCCAGATGTCCTTGAGACCTCCACTTGAAACTCTCCAAGCATAAAGCCAAAAAAATCATATGCTCTAATCAGACAAGAGGAGGAGGCAAACCAAGAAACCTGCAAGATTCAGTTAATGACTCAATTTTAAGATAAGGCAACTCTGAACACAGTAATGGAACTCTTGAAAAATGAATACCAAATGGAAAAAATGTTAGATGCCAGCTAATATTCTGGGCCCTGTCCTATTTCTTCAAGATGGTACAAGAGAGATGAGCAAAATATGCTTACTACCTCCCTTCCCAAATTTTATGTGAATTTGAATTTGCTCAAAGTACACATGAGCAGAGTAAATAGAACCAGCAGAGAAGCAGAGCGAAGCAGCACCTTCGATCCATGCGAGAGGAGCAGAGACCCAGGCTTCACGTGAGCTTTATCACGTTATTTCTAAAAGCATGTCTGCATCCCCACTAGAAAGCAGTCCTGTAATCAGATGTGACTTTGTTTAGGCTTAAATTTTTTATATCAGGGTTACAAACACTGCAAGTTTTGATTACATCTTCACTCTTGAGTGGACTTTAAAAAGAAGAAAAGAGACAAAGTGAAAATTGGAAACAAAAAGGCAGCCAACAACCAAAAAGACAGGAAAATGTTCAACAAAAGCCAAGCTAGCATTAGCAAGTCTACCTCAACAAGACCTAAAATTCAACTGCAATGATGCAAGAAAAAAGCACCAAATAGATCACTGATGCCAGAGCACCTTGGAGCATTTCATCCCAAAGTCATATATGAAATTTGTTATCTGTGACAGAAATATCCTGTTCTGCACCAAACTGTAAAAAGACCTGCCCTGGCATAGAAGCGATGAGCCAGGGGTGAAAACCTCAGACCCTAGTAAGAGCATATGTGCATTACTGTGTGTCTGGGAAATGGAATTTAAAAAAATGATACAGCTGTTACTCTGAATTAAGACACCTACTTGTATGGAGAAAACTGCTGAGCATCCGAAAACCATGTCAAATATAAGTAGCAAGGAAATGATCTAGCATAGAAGTGAATACTCGAAGACACATTTTCCTAAAAACTCTCAAAATAACAGGTAACAAGACTATTAAGAAAAAAAAAAGATTCCCAGTGGCTCCTGTGACAAACCACTCCCGACAGAGGCAGGTCCCGCCCACAAGCTGGACACAGAAAGAATGAGAGACACCAAGATCTCCAAATGGAAACTCTGTTAGCTTCTTTTAAATCATTTACAGCTAATTGAGTTACATTCCTTTGGTTAATGGTCCTCTGTGGATTTAATCCCTAAAGAGTAAAACCTATTAGCAATGAAGCTGTGTTTAAACAGTCACTGTTCACACAGGCAGTGGGGTGTCCGTGCTGCAAGGCTCACCAGCCCAGCTTCCAACGGAGAACGGTTCCGACTATCTAATTCCCAGCACCATAAAATTATGTGACTCACACCAAATAACTGGATGGCTGCTCATTATCATTAACATAAAATGTAATGCCTTATTGGTAAGCCAGTGGAAGGAAATTGTTGTCCAAAATTTCTATTTCAACTGAGAGGAGCTACATTTCAGAAAATAAGTAGGGAGACCTTTTACAGCCTTGCCCTTCAGTCTCAAGATGACTCAGAAACACACTAACAACTCACAAGGCAAAATTAAAATCATGCCGTGGTCTCTTAGTTCATTTGCTATTCGCCTCTATATTGAGACTTAAATTTATTTACCAAGTTCTGCTTTCCAGGGGAGAAAAACTACAACTTAAGAGAAAAAAAACCTTCAAAAATTAACAGTTTACAACACCTTCTGGGCATCCTACCCTGGGCATGTGAGGAAAGAGGTTTATGAACTTGTGTTATTATCAACAAAAGGACCTAAGAACTAAGGCACCTGTTTGCTGTCACTGTGCCCCCCACTTTTCACATCCAGCTTTGTTCAGCAAAAGCACAGTAATTATTCAAGGTCAGGAGAGTATGACAGCCTGTGGTGACCTGCAAAGGTTTCCTCAGCTTCAAGGACCCAAACACAACATCTCTCGGACCCCGATACCCAGGTTCCTAACCCCCAGGATGCACTGCCTCTGGTCCCTGAACAAGGTGAGTCATGTGAAGAACTGATTTTGAGGGAGATTTCACTGGTCAGAGATCCTGGTACACAGTTAATAAATACAGGATTGGAGTGAAGAGGGGCTAGAAATACAATTTGGAGAGACATTCATATAGAAGTGGGAACTGCAGTGGTCAATTACCACAGGGAAGATTATCTAGAAATGAGATAAGGGGAAGTTCAGATGCATGGAAACAGACTACAAATAGGAGGCACAAAGATAAAAGGCCCCAACATGAATTAGTCTGAGCCAAAACACAGTGAAGGAAGTGGGGATGGTCAAATGCAACAGTGGCTAAGAGAAAAGACTAAAAAACAATAGCTTAAAAAAATAAAAGGCTAATATTTAGTGTAGACTCTGCCAGGCACCCTTTGGAGAGCTTTACATACACTAACCTATTTCATCCTTACCAGCAACCCTGGAAAGTAGGTACTAATATTATTCCCATTTTACAGATAAAGAAATTGAGGCATGGACTCAAGTAACTTGCTCAATGTCACACCGTTCCTACCAAGAGGTGGAGCTGGAATCCAACCCCAGCAGTTGGCCGGAACAGTCCAGCTGTTGACCACCACCACACTGCACAGCCTCCTGGAAATGCCATGGGTAACCACTGTCCACCCTGATGGGGGCAATTTCAGGAGAGCAATGGAAACAAGAAGAGTAAAGAGCGGATAGTGACAAAGTGACAGCAGTTAAGTTTCAGAAAAGATAAGTAAGAACAAGGTCAAGGGGAGTTTTTGGAACAGAGGCAGCTGGGCATGACTGTGGCCTGTAGGGAAGGAGAAACAGTAAATGTAAATTTAAGGCACTGCAAGAAGTTAGAGGAAGGAGGACAATGAACATTTCTGTGGGCAGAGGTGCAGAAGTGGAGGCTCTGAGGTGCACAGGTACAGGGCATGTCTAGGGACAAGCCATCCGACTTGAATAGAGTTTGTAGCAATGAACAATCGGCTGTGAAGGTCCAAGCGGATGCATGGTATGAGGGAACAGCAAGAAGGTCACTGTGGAGACGAGGGGTATACCACGTGCAAGGTGACAACATGCCAGCAGCAGAAGGTTCCAGAGACTGGGGCTTGGGGAGATGCAGGGACAGCAGGCTGCAGCGGTGAGGACTAGGTATGCCAAGCCAGTAAGATGAAAGACAAAGATTAGATTTCCGGAAGGTCGCCAACAGGGATGCCAGTGGGGACAGAGCGGGACTGGAGCCTTCTGAACTGAGGTCATTCGTTTCAGGCCACCTCAGGAAAATGAGTTCAAAGAATCTGGGGTTTCCCAGGGTGTATAAAACTTATATTTACACTGTAGTCTATTAAGTATGCAGCAGCATTATTTTTTTAAAAAAAGCAACATACATACCTTAATAAATATTTTATTGCTAAAAAATGCTAACCATCATCTGAGCTTTCAGTGAGTGGGAAGCAATCTTACTGCCGGTGGACAGCCTTGCCCCACCTTGATGGCTGCTGACTATCCACAGGTGGTGCTGAAGTCTGTGTGTTGTGGCAATTTCTTGAAGTAACAATGAAACAACCCATCAATTCTTTCTATCACCAACTATTTTCTGTAGCATGTGATGCTGTTTGATAGCATTTAACGCAGTAGAATTTCTTTCACAACTGAAGTCAATCCTCTCAAACGCTGCTACTTTTCATCAACTAAATTCATGTAATTTGCTAAAATTCTTCCTTGTCCCTTCAACAGCCATCACAGCCTCCTCCCCAGTAGATTCCACCTCGAGGAACCAGTTTCTTTGCTCAGCCTTTAGAAGTGACGACTCATCTGTCAAAGTTTGCCGCTGGGATGCACCCCAGCAGTCCCACCTCAGGCCCCACTTCTAACTCAAGAGCTCTTGCTGTTTCCTCACACCAGCTCCCGTCAGTCCCTCCACTGAAGAATCAACCTCTTCCAAACTCTGCTAATGTTCATATTTTGAAGTCTTCCCATGAACCACAGATGTTCCCAGTGGCATCTAGAATGGTGGCTCCTTT